ACAAAGTATATAATTGCTCTTGTATAGGGAAATCAGAAAAATAAAAAATTAATTAAATAAAAAAAGTTAATTATAGATATGAGAATATTGAGAAACAAAATATACTTAATTAAGAATATAATTACTAAAATAAATAAAAATGTACTACAATAAAATATATAAGAATTAAGTCACACTCGTAATTTTGTTAAATTATTTTTTTTAATTAATATAAAATTTATTTGATTATTCTTTAGTTTAATTGAAAATATCTAAATAGTTTGTTATATTAAAATATTGTTACACAATATTTTTGTAAAAACTATGTTATCATTATAAGAATATTTTTTTTATGAGGCTTATGAGGTATTTATAAGTAATAAATTCTTTAAAAGCTTCTAAAACCTTCTAATGACAATACTTGACAATAATAAATATAAGAAAATATATTAAATAAATAAAGTATTTCTAACAAAAGATAAATTTAATATTTAAGTTATATCAGCATTAAGTTTGGTGAGGGTAGCTCTGAGGCGGTTGGCTTGAAATCGCTTTCTTTTCTCGGGCATTTTTACGATAGAATTGCGCTCATAACTTTGGTCGGCTAACGTCGCTTTGCGTCGCGTCGCATCGGCTGCTTGTCTTAGGCAAAACTGAAGAATTTCAGGCCCGACATGCGCCTGTCGCTGTCGCTGGCGGCTGCCGGCTGCGCAGTCGCCACGCGGCAGGGCCGGTAGAGGCGGTGCGGGCGGCTCAGATAGTGGAAGCAGTCGCTAGCCGCCCGGCCGGGTTCGCCAGTCGGGCGACTTTCGAGCGCGTGTGGCTGCCACCGAGTGGAGGAGCGCATCGTTTTAGAGTTTGGAACATTTCATTAGTTTTGAGTGCCGGCATATATCGTCGATCTAGTCTCTCTGCTCGAAGTTGCCGTCGCCGTCGCCGTCGCCGTCGTCGTCGTCTTCAGCTCGACTTTGGCTATTATTTTCAATTTTATTGCGGGCTTTTATTAGCGCTCTGCATTTCGTTGCTCATACCTGCAATATGGACAGTGCTTTATATGGCATAGAGATATGCCTGATTGAAATGTATGTATGTTGCTGTAATTTATATGGCCATAGTGAAAGACACATCTGAATCTGAATTTTCTCGGTTTTATTTGTTCAAAAAGTTGTTTGTTGCCAAATTAGCATATTGTTATTATCGTTTTGTGTATTCATACATACACATACATATGTATGAATGTATCTATGTATGTTTGTGGTATATATGTATGTATGTATTTAGTTTGTATGGTAGAATATACTGACACAAAATATAAACTTAGCTCTAGGAATATACATATTGATATAGTCAATATATATACACACATATTCATACATGTATGTATATATATATGTACATCATACAAGAGTCGTTGATAGCAAAAAACTTATCCAGCTACAAGTTCGAGTGAAATTGATATATACGTATGCATGTGTGTATATGTCGTACATAGTATTGAAGGACTATCCTATATACATGCATACAATATATGTATGTATATACATATGTGTGTAGATAGTTGGAACTAAACTCTCAAAGTTCTGATTCGGAATGCTTAAGATTAACGCAGGGACAGTCTTTAAAATTAGAGATGAGAATTGAGAGATCTTACTGTAAGTCTTGAAATGTACTTGTACTCGCACCGTCTCTTAACTACTAAAGTGACGCACATAGGACATTGAGAAAGAAACATTAATACTGGATGCAAGCCGAGTGGAATAACATAGTATATACGATATACGATCTTAGTTAGCTCTAGTTTATGTAAGTAACGCACACATAAAAACATTCGCAATGCAACATCTATATAAAAAACGTAATTACAATCTATGCAATTTATGTTGTATTGTTTACTATTCTGCTTGACTTTGAGCGTTTGTGACTAATTTAATTAAATATATTTGCAATATTCATTCGTCTCGCGATTAGCTACAAATAGTTTTCGACTAGCTAAGAATGCATCAATAAATACATTTATCCAAAGGTTCCAAATTCTGAATTCTATCCAATCTATATAATTTGTTTATATGTATGGAAGAAAAACTGTCCATAAGCAACATCCATAAATAATTCATTTAACTTTCTTTTTTTTTCTGTATGCACATATTACATTAAAATGTGGGACATACATATATATGTTTATATATATTAATCTTTTTAGCACTTTTCGTATAAGTTTATTGAATACACGAGAATTAAATATTTTGACATTGAACCATGCATTGAATAAACAATATAAATCACAACGTTTTTAATTTCAGATTTAATTCAATTCATTTTTGTTTTCTCATTTATATATATTTGTTTTGTATGTGTGTGATAAATATTTTTGATTATTATTTTCAGCTACTTCTTTTTTAAATTGTTCAGCTCAAATTTCATTTTTTTTTTTTTTTATTTTTTTTGATGGCACATACGTTTCTTACATTTCAAAATTTAAACTTATTTATTTTTTTTATTTTGTTGAAGGCTCTTTGCGACCTGTTTTAATTTTCCATCAGTTTTGTACATTTAAAACATTCAAAATGGTATTTACTTAGTTTTTATTGAGTATGCACTCTGCGCATCAGTGTGAGTTACCAAATCTCTTATCGTCTAAATAGTCGGGAGCTCGCGGCTCTGCTCGATCCCCTGCTTAAGACTAGGCTTTGTGTCTCATGTCAGCGGCTATGCGAAATATGCTCGTATCATTTAGGCATACTTCACCGTAGAGTAATATATGTTTCTCAAACCGTTCGTTCCATTCGTTATTCAGCTATCGTTGCTTATGTGGCACTCGAGTTCCATGTAGTTTCTAACTTTACCTGGTTTCTCTTAAGGCTAGGTGATTGACTCATATAAATATATGTATATGTGCTCTATGTATGTGTCTGTATATGTGTGCATATACCAATATGTATGTGATACTGAAAATGATAACCGTGGGCAAACGAAAGAAATAAACGAAAATGTGTTTTGTGTATTGTTTTTTAATCATAAAAAAGGTTTCAACTTAGACTTAGAGCAATTTCAAACTAAAAACTAGAGTATATTTAATATATATATATTTGAAAATGATTTCACTTGTTGATTTCTCTTCGATTTGAATTAGAATTAGAATTAGATTTAAATTATTGTTGCCGTTGATTTCGAATCAATTAAGGAAGTACAAGAGGCATTTTCAACACTCGATTCACAATGCAATTTTCGTTAAGTTTCGATTAGTTTTTCTTCTTTTGAAACAATAATTTAAAGAATTAATCGTAATTTGTTGCACAAGTTAATTTGTTGTTGTTTTTGTTCCTTACTTAACACACATTCAACTGAAGTCCTTAAGTCCTGCTGTAACTTATGACATGCACAAAAATGGCTGATTTCTTGTTTGTTTTTTGTTTTGTTTTGTTTTTTAATCTCTTAGCTTAATACAAAAATGATATGCTAAAGTTTATGTTTTTATTTTCTCTTCTCTTTCTTATTAATGTGGGTGTGAGTGTGTGTGTGTGTCTGTGCGTGTGTGGGAGTTAAACCTAAACACTAAGCTGCTAAATAAGTTAATAAGATACTTTAAAATGCTTAACTGCAATAAATTAGTTTCTCGTGTTAGAATTTTTTTTGATTTTTGTTTTTAAGTTTTAAATGAACATTAGCTATGCAAAGTTGAAGGGGATTATATTTGTATTAAAAATTAATTGTTTTCATTTTATGTGTTTTTTTTAGTTATAGGAAATTAAAATTAATAATTATTACACATGAGATCACAGTATTAGAGACATAAGTTAAATATTTGTAAATATTTTGTTATTTGTTTGTTTTTTTTTTTTTTTTTTTTTTTTTTTTTTTTTTTTTTTTTCTTTTTTTTTTTTT